CAAGTCTTGGATTCAAGTACAAGGTCGTGGTAGGGCAGGTAGCTGCTGCAGCTCTGTCTCCAGCCCTGACATAGGGTTGAGATAGGAGCCACAGTTACTGCCTGCCTCCCTACTACCTCTGCCCCTCCCTCCTGTTCCCCCTCCTACCCCTGCAGCCTCAGCCCCCTCCCCCAGTGCTGCAGCAGAAGCAGCAGCAGCTCCAGCCAGGCCCTGGAGCCTGGGCCAGAGCTGCTGCACTGCTGCCACTGCTACTGGTTTGGGTTGCAAAACTCATTTTTGGTAATATAAGCAAACACGTGCTCTGTGCCCCAAGCTAGAGTAGAGCTGAAACCCTGCTGGAGCCAGAGTGCACAACCAAGTGGGGCAGAGGCTGTGGGGGCACAGCCATCGGGGGATCAGCAGCAAGGGGTGCAGGCATAGGGTTAAGTAGCAGGGAAGGAAAGGAGGGCAGGTGCCAGGAGAGCAAGTGGTTGGGGCAGCAGGGGGAAAAGGGCCAAGCTGCTTCACTCCCCAAACACCTGGCCCTCCTGCCACTGCTTTCCGTGCTGCCATGGTGGGGGCAGGCAAATTTAAGTTGACCCTCCAATAATTAAATTCTATGCACTGAAAATTATAACGTTTATAAATTTTCTGTGTATGGACCCTAATTATTTGGGGTCATCTTGAATTAAATATTGTCTTGGATTTGGGAATATATGGTACAGCTGAGAGACTTGGGAAGAATTTGTGTGTGTTAAAAACACAGCCAGTCTATAAAATTGTCACTGTCCTTACAGTTGATTTAATTTTTAATTTTACCACAACTCTAGCATGGTTTCCTTTATTGTTTTGGGTTTTTTTTAATCTACAAAGCTGAATTTCCAAGGGCACTTCTATTTTATAGAATCAGGGGTATGAAATTCATAAAGTATTGCTTTACAGGCTTTTTATTTCCAGGTTAAACACGTAAAATCAAAAGGAAAAGAATATTGGCAGAAACTGAGTAAAAAAAAAAGGATTGTAAAATACTGTTTTGGCTCTGATAATTATTCTAAATGTAATCTAAACAGAACCAACTACAACATTTCCTGAAGAGAAATACATAGAAGTGGTGTCAGAACAAGAATAAAATTGCTTAGACAGTTCCCACTTCTTGAAAGTCACTTGTTAAATTTATTTTAAAAGCAATTTTCAGATAGATAGATTTCTGTAGTAAAGAACCCAAATGCTGGTTTATGCATTTTGCTATCCAATATTAACAGCTTAGAGGTTTATTTCATAAATATCAGTAATTCAGATGATTCTTAATGAAGCACAGTCTTGCTTTGCTTTCTTTGTTTTTATTTTCATTAAATACTAAGCAATTGCAAATATACCCTATAAAAGACTGCTTATTTCAGATTTGAGGCAATGTTGCAATAATGCAGCCTCTAAATATAGTCTTATTACTTGACTTGACACAGTTAAATCAGCCTCAAGAGGCCTTAAAATTGCAGAAGGCTATAGCATACAAAACAAGACAAAACACAAATACTAAAATCCTAAGTAAAATATAATTGGCGAGCTACTGCAAATATTGATTTCCTTGAAAAACAAACGGAACAAGTTTGCTAACAGAAAAAAGTGCAAATTGCATTTTTTTCTGAATCATAAATTTGACCCTTGTGATTGCTACGAACAGAGATAACCATAGTAAAGTTTTGTGTTAATTCAAAGTTTTGCGATAATGTCAGATAGAAGAAATAGCTATTTGTATCCCAAATTCCAGGGTGTTCCTAACTGTTAACGTGTGTTTCAGAATAACATGAATGATTGCACTACCCTGGAACAAATGCTCTTATTTCAGAAGATGAGGACAATCTGGATCTCTTTAAGTTTATCTAATGATATTCAAATCCTGGCTTTTACAGCATTTATTAGATGCATTGGTATTTAATAAGAATCAGTAAATAAACTTTAAATTACTGTTCAGTGAATATATCTAACGATTGTCTGACGAACCAAAATCTATGGTCAATCTATTGTAGATAAAGGGCTTGGATGAATGTGACTTCATAAACTTCATAAAATCCTCTTGCAAATTTCATTTAAGAAAAATGTGTAGGAATATGTTTAAATCCACTAAAAACTAGGACTGTTTAGCATTTTAAATAGACTTTCCCCCGCCCTCTTTTCCCCCAACCTCATGTCTAAAATTAAAAAGAAAGGGGAGGAAGGGGATGGTAATTTTAAACCCTATTTAAAATTATGCCCATGCAAGCTTTTTGGAGGCATGTTCTTAAAAGTAACATTTGACAACATTTTTAGGTGTGTTTTGTGAAAAGTTATTATGAAACTCATTATTATTAGGTATTAAACTCTACAAGTTTTTACACTGACACCATATGTAGTACTTTTTAATTTCCTAATATGAGCTTTCCATTTACTAGGCAATAACGATGTTGGGTCCAAAGCATATTCATGAACTAGTACAGTAGTGTTCATTCTGTCAACATGTGCACAAAAGGCTGTGTCCATGCCCGTTTCAATCCTTCTCGAAAGTTCTGCTGTTGCTTACTACTGAAATCTTTACTAAGACACTCTTGTGGCATTCATTCACATGTATCTCGTGAATCATCAATCTGTTCAGGTTTCCACGTGTGTCTATATAACACAAGCTTTCTGTGTTTTTGAAGTATTTCAAGTCCAAAGTTGAGGAGGGTGGATAACAAAAACAATTCGTACAGAGCTAATTAATTTGGATGTCTTTTAGACAGTTCTATGTTATAGCCACATTAATATTCTCCTTTTTAAAAAAGGCTTGAAGTAAATCGCACGATGTTAGAAGAATTTTAGATACTGATTACTTGCAATTGGCTCTTGGTGATGTTGCTCTTAAGATTTCCAGCTGAATTTAACCCAAGTCTGATTTCTGAGAAGCTGCTTGATAGTACTGCATTAAAATTGCATGTTTTTCATATGAGCATATTTCTGTAATTTCACCCACCTTCACGTTATATTTACATTTCCTCCCACTTTAAAAAGCAGTGCTTAAAACTTCAGAAACAATAAACAAAAAGATTATATTAATTCCAAAGGAAGATAATATATCTGCCAAAGTCTCAGCCTTGAAACTAGATTTGTCAAGAGTTTGCCTGTATTAAATATTATATAGTAACTGTATAATGCTTAAGAGGCATTTTTCTCAAGTTGCCAAATGTTTGAAAAATGAAGGGAAAATACAGTTTGAAAAAAACCCCAAATAGTCACTGGTAAACTCAGATGGAGTGAGATTTGCAGTATTTGTACTAATAAAATATAAGGCACAATTAAACTGTACTTTGCAGTTTTCAGGCTAAATTTTAACTGATTTAGTGATCTGCAAATGCATGAATCCTTAAAAAAAATCCAAATGCAAATTAGTGCAACTGCAATAAAATATATTTGCAAATGAATCCTGTTGCTTTATTCATTTATTGTGTAATTACTGCAATCCTTCCCACCTTGTTTTCAGTATTTCTTAATCATTAAGTCGGAAGCATGACAGCAGTGCCAGCCCTGGCATGATTCTCTTTGACTAAAACCTTGTAAATTAACACAATTAGCACAGCATCATCCTGCTAATTAACTTCCAGTGTCTGGTGCAGTGGTTTTGCAAACAAGGAAGAGGGAATCAGAAGGGAATAAACATGCCATTCTGTTACCAAACTGTATGCTGTGTTAGGCTTAGCTCAGTGAGGCTAAGCTGGCCATGTCAGATGCCAGAGTCAGGCAATGAAGAGCTAAAGGGGTTGGGGAGGAAAACAGGAGGAGGTAGAAGCTGTCAAAATAGACTGCAGTAATTCAGAAGGGAGCTAGTGCCACAGATGCTTCATTTAGACTAGGCCTCCTTCTTATCAAAGAATCTATGCCAGAGGGCACAAGACTGTTTGCAAAAATCATTTTTGGTAATACGAGAGAGATTAAGGAGGCCTATTTGTTTCAGCTGTACAAAAATCAGCAACGTGTCTACCATGCATAGGTAAGAGTTGGAGGAGGTTAATGCTTGTAAATTGTTCTTGTTACATGTGGTGGATTACCAGGGAAAAAAAAAATCGCATCACATTATTTGCAAGATTAATTGCTTTAAAGTAGCAGTTGCATTTTTTGCTTAGTTTACTGAATTGACAGGGTGTATAGCTAGCAGTGCAAACCACAGAACTTTTAGAGCTAGGCTGCTTTTCTTTTCTTTCTTTGGTTCCCTGCCCCCCCCCCCACCTCCCCCCTTTCTTTGCACCCTGGAGGCTGTGAGGGGGAAAAAGAGAGAGCAAGCAAGGAGACCGACAGACAAGTGATGCTTGTTTTTTTTTCCAGAGCTTCAACAACAGAACTGAGAGGCAGAAAGGAGCCAGTTGTAATTCATACCGAGTTGTAGGCTTTGTGTGATGAAAGCGACGGAGCGCTGCCTGGGAGATTGCTTTGCTGCACTCCACGAAGCAGATTTGAAACTGTCGTGGACCACTTTAGATGAGAGTTGGATTATGGAATGACCTGCTATGTCTGTGTCATATTGTTCTGCGCAGGGTGCATTATACTGTGCTAACTAGGTGTTCAGTACCAAATAAGAGAGGTATCCTAGATGTGATCTGTCAGCTGTGTCTCATATTTTTATATTGGTTAAAATATAAAACTGAAACTGTGATGAAAGAAGACAGAACAGTTAGGTGTCTTGTAGGTTAACAACAAATCTACACTCCTGGTATTTAAAATGTATACGTTTTTGTTTAATTACTTTAAGAAATCTGGCTTTGCAGAACAAATAATGTTTTTCTCCTTCTAACTAGGCAAAAATGTGGCTCTGCTCATATCTATATTTAAACAAATCTGAATATTTTTATTGTTTCGTAAAGGCGTTCATTGTATTTTATTGGTAAAGATCTCTAATCTGACATACAGTAATTGTAGAGAGTACTAAAGAAAAATTAAAAAGATAATATATGTACAATTATTGGTGTCCAAAATATCTAAGATTGCTGTTAACTTTGTTTTCCCCACAACCCTAGGCTTGAAGATGCAGTGGACGCCGGAGCATGCCCAGTGGCCAGAACAGCACTTTGATATCACTTCAACCACCCGGTCTCCTGCCCACAAGGTGGAAGCATACCGTGGACACCTGCAGCGCACCTATCAGTATGCCTGGGCCAATGATGACATCTCTGCTCTGACTGCCTCCAATCTGTTGAAAAAATATGCAGAAAAGTATTCTGGCATTTTAGAAGGCCCGGCTGAACGACCCATCCTTAGTAACTATTCTGAAGCTCCATCAGGGCTGGTGAATGGTCGGAAGAATGAAAGTGAACCCTGGCAGCCTTCTTTGAATTCGGAGAGTGTTTATCCAATGAACTGTGTCCCTGATGTTATTACTGCCAGCAAAGCTGGAGTAAGTACAGCCCTCCCTCCAGCAGATGTCTCTGCCAGCATAGGGAGTTCACCTGGGGTGGCCAGTAACCTGACAGAACCTAGTTATTCTAGTAGTACCTGCGGAAGTCATACAGTTCCTAGTCTTCATTCAGGGCTCCCATCTCAGGAATATGCTACAGGATACAATGGCTCTTATTTACATACTAGCTACAGTGGCCAGCCAGCACCTGCACTTCCTTCACCTCATCCATCTCCTTTGCATAGCTCTGGGCTTTTACAGCCCCCCCCACCACCACCACCGCCACCAGCCCTAGTCCCAGGCTACAATGGGACTTCTAACCTCTCCAGTTACAGCTATCCTTCTGCTAGTTATCCTCCTCAAACTGCCGTTGGTCCTGGGTATAGCCCTGGCGGTGCACCACCTCCGTCAGCATACCTGCCTTCAGGAATTCCTGCTCCTACTCCTTTGCCCCCAACCACTGTACCCAGTTACACTTACCAGAGTCACGGTTTGACACCCATTGCACCATCAGCTCTGACAAATAGTACAGCGAGTTCTCTCAAAAGGAAAGCTTTCTATATGGCAGGGCAAGGAGAAATGGACTCCAGTTATGGAAATTACAGCTATGGCCAACAGAGATCTACACAGAGTCCGATGTACAGAATGCCCGACAACAGCATTTCAAACGCAAACAGGGGGAATGGCTTTGACAGAAGTGCTGAAACATCATCCTTAGCATTTAAGCCAACAAAGCAGCTAATGTCCTCTGAACAGCAAAGGAAATTCAGCAGCCAGTCCAGTAGGGCTCTGACACCCCCATCCTATAGTACTGCTAAAAATTCATTGGGATCAAGAACAAATGAATCCTTTGGGAAGTACACCTCCCCTGTAATGAATGAACATGGTGATGAGCATAGGCAGCTCCTTCCTCACCCAATGCAAGGCCCCGGACTTCGTGCAGCTACCTCATCCAACCACTCTGTGGACGAGCAACTGAAGAATACTGATACACACCTCATTGACCTTGTAACCAATGAGATTATCAACCAAGGACCTCCAGTGGACTGGAATGACATTGCTGGCCTAGATCTGATAAAGGCTGTCATTAAAGAGGAGGTTTTATGGCCAGTATTGAGGTCAGATGCATTCAATGGACTGACTGCTCTACCTCGGAGCATTCTTTTATTTGGACCTCGGGGAACAGGCAAAACATTAATGGGCAGATGCATAGCTAGTCAGCTAGGGGCTACATTTTTCAAAATCACTGGCTCTGGTCTTGTCACAAAGTGGTTAGGGGAAGGAGAGAAAATAGTTCATGCTTCCTTCCTTGTGGCAAGGTGTCGCCAACCCTCAGTGATTTTTGTTAGTGACATTGATATGCTTCTTTCATCTCAAGTGAGTGAAGAACACAGTCCAGTAAGTCGGATGAGAACCGAGTTCCTTATGCAGCTGGACACCGTACTAACTTCTGCTGAGGACCAAATAGTAGTAATTTGCGCCACAAGTAAACCAGAAGAAATAGATGAATCTCTTCGAAGGTACTTCATGAAACGACTTTTAATCCCACTTCCTGACAGCACAGCGAGGCACCAGATAATAGTACAACTGCTCTCACAGCACAATTACTGTCTCAATGACAAGGAGGTTGCACTGCTTGTCCAGCGCACAGAAGGCTTTTCTGGACTGGACGTGGCTCACTTGTGTCAGGAAGCAGTGGTAGGCCCGCTCCATGCCATGCCAGCCACAGACCTTTCAGCCATTATGCCCAGCCAGTTGAGGCCAGTTACATATCAAGACTTTGAAAATGCTTTCTGCAAGATACAGCCTAGCATATCTCAAAAAGAGCTTGATACATATGTTGAATGGAACAAAATGTTTGGTTGCAGTCAGTGATACTACTTTAAAAAATGTAATGAATGTTGGCACACACACAACCTGCTACATAGGGTATAGAACCCCTTTTCAGTAGTGTTCAAATTTCAAAGGGTACTGGGAAGACTACAATTTACCTTGCCTCTAAAGAGTCAGGGTAGACTTGAAGGAAAAGTGCATCAAACAAGAGCTGCTGATCTGAAAAGCCACACATGACAGAAAGCGTATGTTGATGCTCAGTTCTGTTCAAGCTAGACAACACTCGCCAAGGAGCAAGGTGCAAGTGGGTTGATTTCAGAAGGACATGAACCCTGTGTGTTGATTCCATTCTGCTGTTCTTGAGATTTAGTTGCTGTCAAGTGCCTGAAGTGGTGCTTTATTTTTTGTTTGCCTCACAATTACATTGGTGGCATGTGCTAATATAAAGAGCTTTAACTTCAAACATTATTCGGACTAAAGAGATGAACGGTTGTGTTGTGACAGAGAACCAGATTTTTGCTATTCTAAGAGCAACAGTATTCCTCAATCCTGTCTGTTCTGCAGTATTAAACTAAGAACAGGTAAAACAGGGTAACGGTAATCTGGACCTTAATTTCTGCAGTTCATTTCTTTTAATGTTCTGTCTGCAAAAACTCAGGAAAGTGATTGTGATTTGTACAGTACCTCAAAGGAATGTGTTGAAAGCACTATGTACTGCTGAGAGTTATAGGCTAGGCTTCAATGTTACTTTATATTAAATATGTATGTTTACCTCAACAATTGGAAAATGGCAAGGAAAATTACTTTGAATGTATCCGGGAAAATACTGAAGTGTGATATGACTGGATCTTTACAGCTTTAAAGTAGAAACAGAAGTGTTAAGAAACGGTTCTTTTGCCAATTTCTGGGAACAGAACAGAACAGAACAGAACAGAATAATTCTCTTGTTGGTAAACTGTAAGAGGTTTCAGCATATTGCTCCTTTATAATTACGCGATACAGTCTTTAGAAGGTGCACAGATGAAAAGAGAGCCACTTAATCAGTTTATGTTTGCAGCTGGAACAGTCAAATATAAGATTCCATAGGACTCCGAGAGGCAAATTACCTTTAAACTATGACTGCTGGCCTTTTATTACTTGGCTGTAGTTGTAGTTTTGCGGTTATTTTGGTAAAACTGTAAGGAATGGAATCCTTGTAGGTCATGGGCATAGCTATGGGGTGCAGAACTGTTTATAGCAATGCAGTAGACCATGACCAAACAAACAATACAAATAGTAAAGCAAAACTGAACCCTCAAAGTACTTTTATTTCCCCTCCCAAACTGTAAAGTTTCATTTTTATTGTATCTGTATGGCTCCATTGTCTTTAATGCAATCTTCATTTAGCATCTATTAGTAATCTTTTCGGCTGAAGTGTACCCACCATTATTGCTACCTCAGTTTTGTTACATTTCTCTTGGAAAGCAAAGTAAGAAATAAGACAAAAAATAAAGTCAGATTACATTAGGAATGCTAACCTGCTAAACGAGTTTCAGAGATCTGCTGTTTTCTCCTGAAGTCACGTTTCTCTGTACCTTAAGCCCTCCCGGCCCCCTCCCATACACGTACTATGGAGTCTTCCTTCTGGAAAGACTAGCTGGCATGTGTGGCATTTTGCTCCATTCTTCCCCTGCCCCACAGTGTCTTTCTTTTTATCCTTTAATGCTTTATGTGCAACTTTTTCATGACAGCTGACTGATGTTGGGTAATGTCTGTGAACAGGAGCAGTGTACGCTGCAGCTGCCCAAAGCCTCTGCCACCGCATGAGCAGAACAGCCTTGCTTTTTTGAATGTATTTTTTGTTGTTGTTGTTTACTTTAAAGAGACAGTAACAAAACTGTTGCAAAGCACTGGCATTTAATGTTTCTGTTAAGTAATGTACATTCAAAAATGTTAAAGAAATGCACTGAAAGCCCCAAGAAGAGAGATACCAATCTGTTACCAGATCCTGTTTGTCTTCTCAAAAATTGTACAGATCTCATCCATTATGTTAAATCAATTGAAACATTTAGCATTTAGAAAGCTAATGAGGGATTTCATGATACTGCTGGAAATTTATGACTCTTGGTTATTGCCTTCGTTCATCTTTCTTTTAATATATAAAATATATTTAGGTAGATATTGCTTAAAAACAGAGCAAATAAACCAAAATTTAATTTAAGAGGGATTCCTGGCAAACATTTTGTCTAACTAAAATTTATGTTTTAAATACGAAAGTACCATTTTATAAACAGTGCCTTTCATTAAGGATACAGAAAGTAGGACTTAAACACACCACCTGTTTTTACAACAATGACTAAAACACAAATTGTTTGTTCTGACCCACTCCTTTCTCTTCCTTTCTTCCCCCCAGACGCCCACCTCAGCCATTCTACCTTCTTCATTGTTATGAAATTCTGATATCCCCATTAGTTGTAGGTTCATATTGATCTCACTGGCAAGTTTACTTTTGCAGATCGCTGACCCATTTTCTGTCTTAGACATTGCATTTCATGTCTTCCATCAAGCTGTGCTCATTTTAAAGGTTCAGGCAAATTTTGACAAACCTACTCTTGATAAATCCATATAGAAATGGATTTTTGTGACTAGTAAAAGTAATGCCAAATACTGAACTGCACTAGTGTATTTTTTTCCTTCTTTTAGTCAAAAACAAAAAAATAAATGAAATTGTAGACGCTTGTTTTGGCTTTCAGCTTTAATAACTATCTCTTGAAAATACACTCTGAAAAATGGATTGCTCAAATATTAACTAATGTGACAGACAGGCAGAAGCTGAGGTCATGTGCGGATATGCATTCCCCAAACACACAAATTTCAAGCTCTTGATTCAACCCTGGAGGTACTAGGGGCTGAAAACCCTCCCTTCTCCCCCCCCATTTGGGGGTGTATGGTCAGAGCTCTTCTCAAGAGGTTCCCTGGAAAACAGTTGATGGCACTCCAGAACAGTCTGGCCACATCCTCTCCCTTTCCTGAATCTCTTCCAGTCAAGGGACTGAGCAGGCCGTTTCCAGGCCTTTTCCCCTTCCCTTCCCCCCTTCATGTCCCAGGTTTAGCAGAGGTGTGCATGCCTTATCACTCTAGTCCCCTCTAGGTGAATTTCCTAGCAGGAGGGAAGCAAGCCCCAGGACGTGAGCTTTCAGACCCTGGAATGTATCACAATCATTTGTGGGGAGGGGGATATGAAAAACCCCAGGTGGCATCCTCAGGCTGCACTATTTGCTAGTCTTTGAAATAGCTTTGGTATTTGGTATTAGCTGTCTTTTGCAATTGGTCAGAGCTGGCAGGAGGGAATGGACTGCAGCTACAGAAGTACATGAGAAAGAGCAGAGCAGCCAACAGTATGTTTTCAAGCATTGGGGCTTTCATGGATTTTAAGGACTTTGGGTGAGACCTTTAATGCACATTAGCTATTCTAGCTTATCAGTAGAAGGTTTATTTGCCTGTGATGTCTGTTTGTAGTGTTTGCAACTGAGAAGACCATTTTACATCAGCTTATGCACTTCTTTGCAACTGCAATAACAATTCCAACAGCAAAAAAAAAAAAAAAAAAAAAAGG